ATTTTATACTATGAAGTATGACCCTTTATGTTGTAGACTGTAAAGTACAGCCATTTAATAACAACACATCCACATTGGTCCATTGATTATAACATGTTAGTGAGGAAACTAGGGTGGGGAAGGGAAGTGGCTATGTCTCTGTCTGCTCATTTATTCTATAAATTGAAAACTACACTGAAAAGTAAAGTTTGTCTTAATTTTTCTAGGCATGCAACAAGTTTTAAGGGTAAAAGAGCAAAGAAAGAAGATGGCGATTTAAACAGCCTTGTGAGTTTAGATCCTGATTCATGGTGTGACTGTCGAATGTTATTACTGGCAATATTGTGTTGTGAAGCTGAAGATTTTCTATTCAGCCCACACTGCTGAATAGACGTGCACACTCTGTTCCTCAGTGCGGGCACCTGCATGTCTACCTTCTTCTCAGTTTCTGACCAGTGCTTTCTCTCTCTCTCTCTCTTTTATTACCCTTTTCTCCTGTTTGTTTGTTCTGTTTTGTTGTAAACTTTCTTCCTTTATCCTTTAGGACACCAGACTTACTGGTAGCAGTTTTGGTCATTATTTAATTCCACTGAGATAACTCAGATTACCATCAATAAACAGATCAGGCAAAGTAGGCAGTGATAGTTCACTCCTGTCATCCAGCGATTTAGGAGACTAAGGCTAGAGGACTGAGAATGTGAGCCAGGTTGGGCTACATAGTAAGTCCCAGGCCAACCTGAGCTGCATATTGAGACTTAGTGCTAAAAATAAAAAAAGTATAAATGTTAGGGCTAGCTTAAACAGAGTGTTTGCCCAGCATGGAGACCCTATCTTTAGTCGGCATGAGGTGTGACACATTGCCATCAGTGAGGGACACTTATTTCTCCACCTCTAATAGGGAAGTAGAATTTCCTGTGGATGGTAATAGCATTTCTTACAGTGAGATGTAAGAATGTATACCCAGCTCCTAGTCTAGGAGAATTCCTACAAGGTAACTCATGAGTTTGAGCTGACAGTTTTTCCTTTGACTGTAAAATACACATACACACTCCCACCACACACTAAACAAATGTAATTGAAAAAAATTAAAGACCCAAATATTTAGTGATGGTGCTAAGAGAATTATGCCTATATAAGTGGAATTACGAAGTCGTCGGGATGGGAAGCAACCCTCAGTGGTAAAGTGTGCTGCTAACATGTGCACGTGAGTGTCTTGCTTCAGTCCTCCGCAGTCTCCCACAAGTCATCAGCACCAAATCTAACACTTATCAAATAGATTCACATTGACCTGAGCTCAAAGAGTGGGAAAGCAGAAAGAATGTTAGTCCACAGTTTATTCTGTACCAACAAAGTAAGATGGAAAATACTATTCTTAAAATCAAAATAAGCTAGAGGAAAAGAAAATTATATCATTGCCTCAGTTCCACAGGGAAGTCCATTTTTTTGTTGTTGTTGTTCACTGAAGCAACAAAAGTAATTTTCAATGGCAATGTGTGATTCATTTGTTCATTAATATTTACCAGGCACCTTGTGTGCATTAAGAACAAGGAATAAACAGTAAAAAATCATCAAGTCCCTGTCCTCTGATGTGCTTTATTCCAGTGAGAGAGGCAGATCATAAACAACAGAATATATTATGCCAGCCAGGATGTGCTGAGGTTAGATCTGAGATGATGGGGAGGGGCGGAGGGAGACGAAGTAGTGATCTGAGGAAGGGAAAAAAGGAACAGTGTGTGTGTGTGCGTGCGTGCGTGTGTGTAACATTTGAGCAGACAGCTAATGTGTGAAACTGAGAGAATAGGGTTCCAAGCCACCCAATAATTACAAATATCTGCCAAATAAATAATTTTAAATATACACATACATAATATACATATGAACAAAATGGGAAAAGAAAATGGATTATAAATAATTGATGGAAATTCATAACATTTCCAGTTAAGTTATTTCAAGACAGAAACAGTAAATTGACTTCAGAAGACAGACATACACTTGGACATTGTGCATTGGGTCTGCAAGATGGCTCAGCCTGTTAAGGCACTTGCCACCAACCCTGATGACTTCAGTTTGATCCTTGGAACCTACAAGATGAAAGGATAGAACTTAGTTCTATGAGTGTCCTCTGACTTCTGTACATGTGCATACAAACACAGGACAAACAGATTAATGTAAAAACAATTAGGATAAAAAAAAAGAAGCTAAGCAGTTTCCAGTTGCTTCTCATTGGATGCCTGTCATATTCATGATGTCCTTATATGCAATAGGGTGCTTTACTGCAAATGGTTAATCATCCAAACAACAAATAGCTACCCCCTTGACTTGTAGATATACATATAAAAGAAACAACACAAAGAGGAAAGCAAATGTAGTATTTTGTAGTTAAAACACAGAGGTGATTCACATGACCACTGAAGAAGGACTAACCAGGAAGTCAGCTGCCTTAGTGACATGGCAGGCACTCACTAGGAGAAGCACATATGCAGAACTGAGGACTTACAAGCCAGAAGAGAAACATTCCAAAGATTAATATATATATGATGGAGATTTTTTTCCTACAACAGTGTGAAAAAGCCAAAGTTTGAACACAGGTCATAATTAAAGGAATTGATATCTGCTGTAGCTATTGATAGATATTTATTTTTGTTTTATTTGTTTTTAATTATGTATATGTGGGGGGGAGGTTATGTACATGTGAATTCAGGTACCTTCACAATTTACAAGAGGGCTCTTGACAAGGCGTCACTATGTAGCCCTGGCTAGCCTCCTCTGCGTCTTACACATCCCAGGCTGCTCTCAGATTCACTGTGCAGCTCCTGGCTCTCTTGAGTTTTATGCTGCTACAAACTCACAAAGATCTGTTTGCCTTCATTCCCAGCATGCAGGGATGAAGGATGTGCATCATTATGCCTGGCAATTAAAATTTTATTATGCTTTTTAATATTTCTTTGTTCTAGTATAGTTGGTAAAACTTATAGAATACATAGAAATAATAATGGAAACATTCTTAATTTGTTTTACATTTTAAATTAAGTTTTATTATTATCATTGTGTGTGTGTGTGTACATATAGGATGTGTAAAAATTCCAGTGTGGACAAAACACCATGACCATTCTGTTTTTCTCTCTGTGTGGGAATAGCATTAACCCTCTTTAGTAACCCTTTATAGTAAGCTTGCTACATTTTGCCCACAGAACCTTTAAGACATTAGAAATCTAAGACTTTTATTGCCACAGCAGGATTAAATCAGAATAATCTTTATTGTGTTGTTTTTGTCTGGCTTAGAAAAAGCAAACTAAAGTTTTTAGAAATAAAATATATTTTTTATAATTTTATGAGACAAAATGACATAAACAAGATATAATTTGGAGTTATAAATAAAACTGTCCAGAAAATAAAACTGTCCAGAAAAAAATTTGAAAGTGCCTTTTGTCTTTAATGAGAACTTCATTAACTCCTGTTTCTTCAAGTTTTCAGTTTATGATTGCTTTAGTTTTCTACTTTGCATTTTTATTAAAAGTCACGTACTTAATTTATTATCTCCAAGGCTTTTTCTCAAAAGATTTATTTATTTAATAATTTTGGTTTTGCAAGACAGTTTTTTTTCTGTGTAGCCCTGGGTATCCTGGAACTGGTCTTATAGACCAGACTGGCTTCGACCTCAGAGACCTGCCTACCTCTGCCTCCTGAGTGCTGAGATTAAAGGTGTGCACCACCATGCTTTTATTTGTATTTAGTTTAACTTACTGTGTATTTGTCAATGCCTGCACATATGTATGTACACCTTGTGCATGCTTGGTACCAGCAGATGCCAGGATGCTGAATCTCTGGTAGGGGATCTGTGGGCAGTTATGGACTGCCCTGTGTAGATGCAAGAACCCAAAGCGGGTCCTCTTTAAGAGCCCCAAGTGTGCTTCAGTGCTGAGCCATCCCGCCAGCTCCTAATGTCTCCCGATTTTAAAGGAAAAAATTTATAGACTTTCTCAATAACATTTACTATTCTACCTATTATTGATAGTTGATATGACAGTTTTCAGTTTTACTTTTTCAGTATGTAGCCATTCCAATAGTTTACTATTTTGTTCTTTTTGGAAAAAAAAAAACTTCTTTTTAGCACTTCAAGTTACTTAACAAATTCTAGTTAGTTTCATTCCAAGTTAATTTTCTTATCCTGTATATGTATGTACAGTATACATAACTTCTCCCCACCCTGACCCCCCCACCTGCTCCATGCTCAGCATCAAATCCAGGGCCTTATGTGTTCTAAGCAAGTAGTCCACCATTGAGCTACCCCCAGTCCTTCTTTTAATACATTTATTTAAAAGACAGACAGAATTGCACCCACCTTATTTTTTTTACTAACATAAATTGTTTGTTTAAGGGGGGGGTTAACTATGCTCCCCAGACTGGTCTGGAACTCCTGGGCTGAAGGGATTTTCCTGCCTTGGCCTCCCGAGTAGCTGGGACTACAGGCATGTGGCACAGAGCCTAATGTAAGCATTTTGATCGGGGTTCTCTTTGAGTCTTACTCTGGAATGAGTGTATTAACTTGCACCTCCACCACAACAACATTCACTCTCAGACAATGGGAATGAAAACAATGAAAATAGTTTTCTTCATATTACTGCAAGTACAGATTTATATAAAGGGTACATGGAGGCTCTGCAGACAAGCACACAGATAAGCATAGTCACAGGCGCACACATAACCTCTTCAGATGTCAACACTCCAGCTCCCAAATGTGAGCCCTGTGCATCTGTTGATTCTCTAAAACCCATGCTCTTAGCATTAACCCAACAGCAGCAATTCTAGAGGAGCAGTACAAGAAGCAGGTGTGGAAATAAAAATTAGCCAAGGCTGACCCCAAAAGCAGTGGCTAAGAGGTGGCCCATGTCACCGTTCTGTCACACTGTGTCTGTCTGAGAATCTTCAGAGACAAGTACATGAGTTGCCGGGAAGCAGGCATATGTCTGTACACATGCTGTACATGCTAGAAAGCACACAGCGTTTCCCACACTACTGACCTGGATTCTGTGGCCTTTAGATGTATGTTTTGAAGATCAAACATCTTTTCTTCAGAAGTTTCATCACATATTTCGTTGTATATGTCTTCCGTGCTTTTTACAGGAGTCAGAGTAGTCGGAAAACACCCTTCATCTTGCAAAGTCAGGGTTATGTTTGAGATGGCAACATGTTTGGGGGAATCTCGGTAGTCATTCTTAGTTTTTGTATCTCGTAGACTCCTATGCTTCAGGATATATTCCTTGGGAAATAAAAAGCAATGAGAAATCAGATATCAGAAGGACACCATGTAGAAACAGTGTTTATGGAGCAGTTTCTAGTCCTTTCTTTCATACTTAGTGTTCACTCATCCAGGGACAGAGAGTAAGGAATGGTGTTGCATGACTATGGAAAAGAGCCTTGGCTGGTATCTAGGCTGGTGGCATAGGAACAAAGGCCTGTGCCAATGCAGCCTAATGCACAACATTCAGGTCAGAGTGACGAGCCCCAGTGTCACCTCATACAAGGCGAGTAGGGTGTAATTAGAACACTTGTTTTTGAATTACAGGTTAAGGAAGGTTTCCTAGAAATACCTGGGCGTGTAGTCTTCAGTAAGGTTGCTCGTAGGAGCATCTGATAGGTAGTGGGGGCTCAGGGCTCATAACAATAACAATAATAACAATAATAATACTTCCACTTTTCAAGACTCTAAACTGCAATTCTCTAAAACCTCTCCTCTGCTTTTGTCTTCCTGCCACATCCCAGCTCTCCAGGTCTCTCAGTGACGGCACCGGAGTGGTCAGACTGCCTCGTGTGGGCCTCAGTGCAGTCTGTCAGAGAGCTCCACACTTGTGTCCCTAACATTCTAATGTCTGCCCCTCTTCCTCCCATGGCAACCACCTGGTCCATCTTAGTACTGTTGGACTTAGGCACACATACCTGCAGTCCCAGCACAGGGGAAACTGAAGCTAGAGGATTGCAAATTCAAGGTCAGTCTGTCCTAGTATAGTAATGACATGTCTCAAAACAAAACCAAACAAAACCCCACCCCCAAAGAATATGCAGTAATCTTAGTCCCTAAAGAGAAAACTTCATTTTATTCTTACAATAAAAATAATTTGTATTATAGACAATTTAAGATGTTGCAAGGGGAGTCTGGAGAGACAATGGTTCAGAATACTAGTTGCTCTGTAAGAGAACCCCAGGTTTGATTCCTAGCTCCCATATGTGTCTCACAACTGTCTGAAATTTTAGTCCCTGGAGATCCAATGCTGTCTTCTGGCCTCAGCAGGCACTGCACACATGTGGTGCCTAAACACCATGCAAGCAAAACATGTATACACATGAAAAGATCGTCTGAGGGCTAGAGTGGAGTTAGGAAGTGCCTCCTTGTGTGGCAGCACTGCTCGCAGGACGGTTCCTCTGCACACTTACTTTCCAGCCTACTTGACTCTGTCTTGTCAAGCTCTGCTCTGAGCTCACTTTGAAGCATCTCACCGTTTGTGTATTCACTGCAGGACTGAGGATTGGCTCAGGCCCTTTTCCTACTTTCAGTCTTGAGATGAGGTCTCACTAAGTTCCCAGGTTGGCCTAGAGCTCATTCTCTGGTCTGTGCAGGCCTCAGACTTACAGGCTGTTGTCAGGTTCCTCTGTAGCTGTGGTCATGGGCTTGTGCCACCAGGCTTGGGTAAAATTACCACCAGAATGTCCTACCTGTCATTATGAACTGTGAAAATTTTTTTGGATATTTCCTATATAAACTGTTTATCTCTAGCATGGGAAACACTTCAGAGGGGTACATAAGGTACAAACTGCACTTGCCCCTCCATGCAGAGACAAGCTGTTACTCACAGACTGTGTTGTTTCCTTTCTATGTATGTGTGGTGCATGTGTGTTTTCAAGTGCATGTCCATGTGTGCACACACATGCTTGTGGAGGCCAGAAGTCCACACAGGCTTCCCTCTCTAACTCTCCACCTAATTTTTTGAGACAGTGTTTCTCAATGGGACTTGAGGCTCACTAGTTAGGCAGTGAGCCCCAATGATCTGTCTGTCTCTGCCTCCGTGATGCTGGGATTTCAAGTGCACGCCATCGAGCTCAGCTTTTTGTGTGGGAGCTGGAGATCAGTGTCTGGTCCTCATGCTGTGCAGCAAGCAGTTTACTAATGGAGCTAGCACCCCAGTCCCTAGTCTTTTGTTTAGTGTGCATGTATCAATAGATTTTTATATCCAAGAGATTATTCTTCCCCCCTCAATGTATATAATGAACATCTTTTCAGGCTAAGAAAGACTTTTGAACAATTTTAACAAGGACACACCACTAATTCACCTAATAGGCTTTTGCTATGGGCTTGACAGATACTATGGGAGCCCCTAAACAAGATGGGAATGGCACTACTCTCATAGTCTTGAGTTTGGTTGGTTATTCTTGGGAAGCCTTGAGGCTGTTCTCATGCTGTCATTAACTTGCTGTTATAAGCATGGTATGGGTGTGGGGTGATTAACGTGTTCTTTGTGTGTGTGGTGCTGTGGGTTGGACCTAAATAAGATTTTGTGTGCACCGAGCACACATTGTATCACTGAGCTATGTCCCCAACCCATGAGTCACATCTTTGTAGCTAACTCTTTATTCCTGTTAGAGGGTATAAATATGTATTTTTAATTTCATGTGTATTAGTGTTTTGCCTGCATGTATGTCTGTGTGAGGGTGTTGGATCCCCTGGAACTGAAGTTACAGACAGTTCTGAGATGCCATGTGGTTGCTGAGAATTGAATTTGATTCCCCTGGAAGAGAAGCCAGTGCTCCTAGCTCCTGAGCCAGCTCTCCAGTCCCGGGCATACATATTTTTAAGGTTCTTGCTTCATTATCATTTCAAGAATGTTTGGCCAGTTCTCATCTGTATTGTAGATCTCTCCGAGCCCCCACTTTACTATACCTTTACTACCATTGCTGGCTTTACTCCATTCATTGTCAGCTACAAGGTTAACACAGGGAGAGGACAGTAGAGGGGAAAGAGGTGGTCCTCATCTGGTGCACTGCTGTACAGCTGGCAAGGGGCAGCGTCTTGCGTGTTTCACAGCACACTGACTGTAGACACAGACGAGAGACTTTTAACTTTTTCCTACTTTCAAGTGGTTTCTTTGTGAAGCGTCTGCCCTCAGCCATCATTTTTCTGTATCATGGATCCAGCGGACTTTGTTTACTAGTCTTCAAACTGATCTCTCTTCATAGTCCATTATGCACCAGACCAATGTATATTTAAGTATTTTTGTTTCTCTCGCTCCCTCTCTTTGTCTCTGTCTCTGGGTGTGTGTCAGAGAGAGAGAGAGAGAGCGAGTGAGAGAGAGAGAGAGAGAGAGAGAGGGAGAGAGAGAGAGAGAGAGAGAGAGGGAGAGAGGTGGTGTGTGGTTGTGACCTATGGGCTGGGAACTGAACTCGGGTCTTCTGGGAAACAGGAAGTCCTCTCTATTGCTCAGCCATCTCTTCAACCCACTAGTTTGATTTGTAAAAAGTTCAGTACCTTAATTCAAAGTTTGCTAAGTGCTCACTTCCTAATATATAATTCAGGGTTTGAGAATGACTTTCATAGTTCCCTCTCCTCCCCCCTTCCCCACTCCCCCTCCCTCTCCCTCTCTCCCCTCCTCCTTTTCTTTCTCCCTTTTCTACTTTTTTTTTTTAAACTTTCTGGCCTTTTTAAAAGTCAATAACTTTTATTTTCTGATTTCTGCTCTCACCTTTTCTTATTGAAGCTTCAGCCCATCCTCATATTTAGGTAATAAAATAGCCATTTTGTTATATTAATATTCTCATTTTAGGGGTGATGACATTAGACTTTGTGTTTGGCAATTTAGACAGTCATGTATATAATACCCAGACGGTTAAGAGTCTAACCTAGGCCTCCTTTCTGTCACACAGCTGCTTCTGATACTGGAAAGATCATCACTATTTCAGGAAATATTTTATGACTTATACTGAGCTTAGGGATTGAGACAATTGTTAAAAATTATGTTACTGTGAGTGGGGTTCCACAGCGTTTTCATCATGAGTGTTAACTAAGACTTGGTTACAGCTCCCATGTTTGATGATTAAAGAATGAAGTGTCCCACAACACATACCTTTTCCTCCTGCTTGGTCTTTAGTATATCATCGTTTTCAAATACTATTCTGACCCCTGAGATGTTTGTGGCCAGTTTGACTTCTGAGACTTCTGTGACTTCCGTGACAATTTTTATATCTGGAACATCTGTGACTCCATTTTCCAGAGTATCGGTGACATCGGTGACATCTGTGATATCAGTGACATCTGTATATTCTGAGAAGTCTGCACTTTCCATGATGTTATAAGGGCATCTCTGTGTTTTCGGGTGCATGGTCCGCAGTTCTGTGAAAGCAGTAATGTCCGTGATGTCCATCGAGCCTGTGATGTCTGTGCTGTTTGTGATTTCTGAGAGGCTTGAGACCTCGGATACTTTAGTCGTTTTGACTTTCTCCTGATTCAAGAGGGGGATGAGGTCTACCCACTGAGAGAATATGATATCCTGTTTATACACCGGCGCACAGAGCTGTAGGTAGTAAGAGCGGCCGTTGATCAGCTTTACCTTGAGACGCATGTTCTTAGCACTGTGCACAGAGAGAGTCACAAACTGCAGAGGGATAAACCTACAAACAGATGCAAAGGTAACATTATCCAAAGACCTAGTTGCAGAGCCATAAAGACTTTTTGAGCTTGGACAATGAGACAGTCAATGGTCTTGAGTCCCAGATAGGTGTGGGTGGGAGCCCCTGAGAGCCATCTCATCTTAATCACGTGTCTAAGATTTTGGTGATAATAAATGACAAGAATGTCATTTATCATGAAAAACTGTCCGTCCTAAATAAGCCTGAAAGTGAGGTTTAGGGCTGGTGAGATGGCTTATCAGGTGACGGTGCCTAGAGTCAACCTCAACGACCTGAGTTTAGTCCCCCATGGTGAAGGACATACTGAGTCTACACACTCGTCTTCTGATATTGGACTTGTGCATGCACACACACAAACATACACACACTAAAATAAAACATAAAAGGTAATCAAAGTTGAGTCTTAGATATCTAGGAATTCAAATAGGACTACACTGAGATTTTATAATCTGTCGGAATGGTTACTACCATGAAGGAGAACAGATGCTGGCAATGCTGTGGGAAGGAAATGGAAAGCCTTGTATACTGCAGGAGTGTAGGGTAGTGTATGGAAACCAGCGTGGAGGCTCCTTAAAAAACTAAAACCTGCACCATCATACGACCCAGCAACACCTCTCCTGAGTGTGTATATCTAAAGGAATCTATGTCACCATACAAGAAGGTTACGGGCACTTGTCACAACAGGCAAGTTGTGAAACCAGACCAGAGACTATGAACAGATGGACAGATAAACAAGTATACACATACAATGGAGTTTTCTTCATCCATAAGGAATAACGAAATGTTATCTGCAGAAAAAAAATGTCTGAAACTAGAGATTATGTTTAATGAAATAAGCCAGATTTAGAAAGATATAAGCAAACATGTCTTCTCTCATGAGGAATCTGGATTTTTAAAAAGAAAGTGGGGAGATACAGTGCTTGCTATGTAAGCCTGATAACCTGACTTTGGAAGCTCCTGGGCTAGCTAGTCTGGTGTACACAGCAGTGTGCAGGAGAGACCCAGTCTCTGAGCACTGAGCAAGGTCAGTGATAACTGACACCCGTGGTTGTCCTCTGACTTCCACATGTACACCATGACACCCCCATATTGTTCTCTCTGTCTCTCTGTCTCTGTCTCTCTCTCTGTCTCTTTCTTTTCCTCTCCCTGTCTTTTCCTCTCCCTCCCCCACCTCTCTCTCTCACACATAAACATGAAAGACATGAATGAAAGTAAAAAGGGACTATCTGAGATGAGGAGGAAGCCTGATGGTGTGAGGTTGGGAAAAAGAGAGGGTATAATGAAGGTTGAATATGATCAAGGAACTTAATGCACATATAATTCATATCTACATGTATGAAAATGTTATAATGAAACCCATTATCTATATAATAAATATATAGTGATAAAATTGTCTAAAAGTGAGTTTTAAATTAAGTTACTTGCTCAAGATCATAGACCAAGTTAGTTGCTAAGATGAGGCCAGAATTCAGAGATGAGGCTGTTGTGAGGAGGGAAAGCATGCACTTGAGAGGTAGTTTATCAAGTCTTTGGTGCTCGTTATGTTAGGCACGGTTTTTACATTGAATTGTCACTTTGACTACCTTTGTGATAAACTATTGTTTGTATCCTCTTAAAGATATCCCTGAGTTACTTGAGAAAGCAATGCACCTGAAGTGCTCCTCTGGGATGCTTGCCATCTTTCTTTTTAGCCATATGGGGCTATCCTCCTGTCCTTGTGACTCACCTGGTGAGCACCAGATTCCCTGAAGAGGAAGACTTCAGAAGGGTTTTAAAGAGAGGTTCTGGTTCTTTTCGAGCTTCTGGTGTCAGATGTGCCAACAGCATCATATTGGGGGTCTTGAAGATGGGATTGGAAGAACAGATGCCTACGGTCACCCAGTTTGCTCGGTTATGCAGGTAAATAGACTCACCTCTCCTATTGACCTGGATGTAGAGAACAGGAAAGGAGTTTCTTGGTAAAAGGTATAGATTTTTGCACCCTTGCTTGCTAGAGCAGTGTAAGTGAGGGGCAGAAAACAAGGGGGAAAAGAGGCATGACACGTCCATTCCTTGGCTTGTTCGTGAATTGGAGATAGCAGAACGAATAGCTACAATCTCTGGTTTGTGGGATCTACGACTCAAGTGGTGTAAACAACTCAAGTAATTACTCGTGCTTTAGGATCCTATGGAGCATGCAGCTGGGGGATTGGCTTAGGTAGGAATGTAGCTGGTGATGTGTTAGCACACAGTTAACAGTTCAAGTAAGCAAGGGCTCTGGGTGCTTCCTAGGATGCTTTTATTCCCTCACTTGAACCTCCAGAGTCAGGAATGTTGGTAGCTTGCTCCCAAACACAAACCAGGAAAAACAGGATTTTGGAGACTATGACTGCAGTTATTTGGGACTGTGGTTAATCTACTGACTACAAACTTCCCCCTCCCTGTGTGGGGTAGAACTATGCAATTAGTGTGCAAGAGTTAATATGAACAAGGTATGGGAAGAAAGATGAAAATAAAAGATCATTAGCAGGAAAAAGTAGCTGAAAGCAAAAAACATTAAATTTTGGCATCACATGTTCTAAGGCATATCCTGAAACATATTCTAGAGACTTCACTCCTCTCTGAGGGGTACGCTGGGGACAGAGTAGTCGCACTAGTCCCCTGGTATCAGTCAGAGAACACATTTATGAAGCACGAGATCTCCTTATCGTTGACATGTCTGTCTCCCTCCTTGTCATACTCTGTGGGAGCAGCTGAGTGCGTTGGCTCTGTGCTTGTTCTGCATTACACACTGCCATGATAGTTCCGTGAGGGACAGGCATAGTCTTTGCCTGAACAGTGTAGAGTGTTGGGAGGAAAGCCAGCACAGTGTCCAGGTGCTCTATGTCTTCATTCACAGTGCAGGTGCATGCTCACAGGAAAGTTTGTCTCTGATACTATCTGACAGTTGTATTTCCCCTTCAGAACCAAGATATAAGGTTGGTTTTAATTCTTAGCTTTTCTTGGGTGGTTGTTTATTTACTTGGGCATGTTAGGCAAGGGCTCATCTATAGTCTCAAGTGTTTTTCTTTAAAATATAGGACTAAGGGCTAGAGAGATAGCTCAGCTGTTAAGAACACTTGCTGTTCTTACATAGGACTTGGGTTCAATTACTAATATCCACATGGTGGCTCACAACCGTCTGTCTATAGCACATGCATGGTACACGAACATACATGCAGGCAAAACATAAAACAAATTCATGCATTTTAAAACGAATATAAAACTCTAAGAAAGAAGTTATCTGAATACCTTCCTGCAGCAGTATGTTGCAAAAATCATTTTGTGTAACATTAAGATTATGTGAGAATGGCAATTCTAGTAGAAATAGGACCAAACTCTTGCCTATGGGTTTGTTGAGAACATCCGAAGTGAATTTCCCTGTTTAAAGTTACAACACTGTTCCTCTTAGTCACACCACACTGTCCCTCATCACATTTAAAGAATTCTCTTCTCAATCTGTCACTGTCTTTGAGAAGATGAAGTACGGCAGTTACTAGAACCTAATTGAGAGTGTAAGTGGTATTTACCTGAATAAAATTGCTCTCCAATATGGGAGGAGATACGTAAGGGGCATACTCTCCCCCATCCAATATGTTCTTGAGATGCCCTAGTCTGTAATAGTGTGGGATGCAGAGGGCTTCTTGCTTAGTCACTGACTTCTTGCTCTTGCTCTTGTTCTTCTTCATCATGCTGAGGAAACATCAGAAAGGTGAGAGAATGGAGATAGATTAATGAACAAACAGAGAAGGTCATAGTTACACTGCCTCTTTTACTTATTAACTGAGCAAGTTTTTATCAAAATCTGTAATATGCATGACTCCATGGCATGCATTGTAGGTACATACAGTCCAGCAGCTTATACTTTAGAGATTGATAAACAGTAAACAAACAATCAGAAAAGTTGTCTGATAGCACAGACAGCAGGCACAAAGAGTGACAGAGGTGGATGGCTGGAAATGCTTACTGGGGTGGGAAAGAAGGTGATACATGCCTCCGACCCCAAACTATTATTTTTATCTTCCTAATTAATTAATCATGGAGGGATGTAGGATATTGAAGCTGTATTAAAGGATACTTCCACACCTCACACATGAGGTAAATGGTGAGCTCTCTGTCTAATCAATGAGAGTTCATTCCCTGAACTACAACTCAGGCTGTCCTCTCCGAAGACAGACTCAGCAGAAAACGTGATTCTATGCCGTTGATTTCACCTCATGTCTATTAAAAATGATTGTAAGAAGGAAAGACACAGAACCTGGAAATTTATGTGTACATATGTTCAAAGGATTTTTCTTTCTACTTAAATATGTATGTCTGTAAAGAATTTATACAAATGGCCAAAAGCTAAAAGATATAAACCATCACTGTACATTGAAGAAATGTAACTCCAGTAACTGTAGTCACTGCTACAGTCATTTCTCAGAGACCCCCCCTTTCTTCAGAGTCCACAGAAATGGTAAATTCTACGCGATGTCTCAGTGTGCTACCAGCCAGGCCTCTCCCTGCCATAAGCACACAGCTGCGGACACAGCAAGATGTGCAATTGCAATCTTAGCACAAATTTCCATGTCAGGCTTTCTACTGTTAGCAACTCGATGGCTCCATTTGTAGTTTCTTAAAAATATTCACAGTGAAGATAAAATCAGTCAAGATGAGCCAGAGATGGAAGAGATTGAAAGAATGAAATAACCCAGAAGTTAACCACTGAGCTATGGTCCATAGCAGCTAAACTTTGAAAAATAATGAGACTCTCAAAAAAAGTGTATTCAGAAAAAAACCAAAACAAAATAAATAACAAAAACCCAAAAGACAACCCCCACCATCACTTAAAATAGACAGGATGAGAAATAATAATTAAAAATTAATGCTTTATAGGGTAAGTAATAAAGACTTTGCATGTTCCATTTCATTTAATTGAGACTATACTCATAAACCACATAGCGAAGGCTTAAAAAGGGAAAGTAACTTTGCCATCATCAGTTTGTACCTCACAAGCTGTGATTCAAACCCTTATATCCTGCCTAGAGGAGCCTTTGGCTGTTACTCAAAGGCAATCCTCTGCCTGTGTTTTTGGAAAGATAGGTATGGGAGCTAGCAAGAATGAGAGGGCTTGGGATAACGGGAAGAAAGGAAATAGGGCCAGAGCAAATAAGAGAAAATAACCTGTTTCCTTCCTGTTTCCTTCTCTGCCTAAACAATTTGGTCCTGATGCATTTGCAGGTAGCAAGGTAAGAGAAGGGATGGGAATGCATCCCAAAGCTCAAGGAAGGAAGAATAGCTCCTGTTGTTACTGTCACCTGTCACCAGCTGTCAGCTCAGGCTCTCAGCTCACATATCTCTAACCTAAAAAAGTTAGTAAGGGGCTGGTGAGATGGCTTAGTGGGTAAAGGCACTTGCTGCCAGGCATGGCAACCTGATCTTTATCCTCAGAACCTATGTGGTAGAAAGAGAGAACCAACTTCTACTAGTAGTACTCTGGCTTTCTACACATAAATAAATATAATAAACACTTTAAAGTTGATTACTGTAGACAGTATGCTGGCACATGGAACCTTCAGGAGAAAGGGAGAGCTTGTCAAGGATAGTAGGTAGGAGAGGAAGGTGGGGAGAACAGGGGCAGAAGAGGGGATGTGACCATGCAACTCATGGTCTTATCCATGAGGGCCATCAGATCTTACCTCACCTCAAGGCCAAGCCACAGTCCTGTGTTGGGAATGAAGTTTGTGACTCACTTCAGTTTGGGCTTCCTCCTTTTCATGATGTAGCTTTTGTGACAAAAACAAATGCAGAAAACAAGGGATTATACACAGCTGCTAACATCATTTCTATACATTCTGTTTCATAGGTTGAGGTCTAAGCCTTAGAATCTTGTAACTAATACAGATGGGTTTTATGGTTTGGATGTTAAGTGTCCTCAATAGGATCATGTGTTAGAGGCTTACAGATTGGGCCTTGAGAGCTTTGATGTCATCAGTGAGTTCATCCACCAGTGGATTTATAGATGGCATTCCTATGAAGTGGTGACAACTTTTAGAAATAGAGGCAACTAGATGGAGTAGACCACAAGGGACATATGAGGGCGTGCTCTCGTCCTGGGCTCTCGTCCTGGGCTCCTTTACATTTTTTTCTTTTTCTTTCTCCAACCACCATGAGAGGTGAGCATCATTGCTCCTTCACTACTACTGTAGGGTCTGGGAGTCATCAGAATGGGGGATTTGAGTCCAGTTGCTACTGCTGGTTCTCATTTACTTTGGCCTTCTTTGCAAGAGTGTGTGCATGTGTGTTATGTGCTTATATACGTGTTCATGCACATATGACAGGGTTTCTCACTGAAGGTGGAGCTCACTGATTCAGTTACAGTTTCTGGACAGCAAGCCTTAGCACAGTGCTCCTCAACCTTCCTAATGCTGCGGCCTTTAATACAGTTCCTCGTCTCGTGGTGACCTCCAACCATATAACTATTTCACTGCTACTTTATGCCTGTAATTTTGCTACTGTTATGAATTTCCTGTCTCTGCTCCCCTGACACTGGGATTACAGGTCCATGCCACTATGCCTGCTTTTTACATGTGTTCTGGGGATCTGACCTCAGACCTTCATGTTTGTGTGGCAAGTGCTTTACTGACTAAGCCCTTCTGGACACCTTATCATGGACTTACATGACTGGAACCCAAACTAATAATTGGTGTGACACTCCCTGTATGGCCAAGGAAGGTCCAAGGTGACAAGGCAAAGGAAGCAATACAGACTGTGCTACCTTGGTTGTACTTAGCAGTTATTAAAATTGTGTTCCTATGGCTACTTGAAGCTTTTGTTGACACCTTCTGTTAAGATTAAGAAAGCCTAGTACAAAAGTAGCAGAATTATCAAAGACTTGGAAGGTCTCAGAGTAAGTGAGCTAGCTTAGCTACTAAAGATGCTGACCACCTGAGTTGATTCCTGGGATCCTCATGGTGGAAGAAGAGAATTAACACCCACAGTATTCTTCTTATCCCTATATGTACATCATGGTGAGTGTATATGCACACAACATGCATTAAATAAATAAAACATTTTAAATGTGAAGACGATAGCACAGAAGAGCGATGAATAAATACTGGGTGGGGAAATTCAAAGTAAGTATTGGGTTGCATAGATACTATTTTTTTCTATTTCTTTTTGTAGCCTATAGTATTTTACATTCAACTCTTGCTTATTTAGAGATGGATGATAGAATATACATCTCTGAAACAAAATCACCCCAAGAAACTGAAGACATCACTTGTTAGAGGTATGTCTTATATTTGTATATACTTGCTTACCAATAGATGCTACATTGCCACTAAGAATGTCCTTCCTCAGTGCAGTCATTGTCGCCTCTATGATGCCCTTAAGAAGAGAGGCTATGTAGATGGCTCAATGGATATGTGCTTGCTATACAATCTCTAGCACCTGGGCAAAATGCTAGCCATGGTGGACATACTTATAACCCCAGTGTTGGGAGGCAAAGACAGGAAGATTTCCAGAGATTGCTGGCTAGCCAGCTTAACCAAAATGGCAGGCTCCTGGTTCAGTGAGAAATTCTGTCTTAAAGGGACAAGGTAGAGAGATGTAGAGGAAGACACCTGACTTCTCCTCTGACATCTGCATACACAAACATGTGCTTAGGCAGCCATACATCCATGTTCATATCACACACACACACTCTCACACACACACTCACACACACACACTCACACACATTCATGCCCACACACATAAAAATGAAAAACAATTTTAAAACAACCCCACTTGATAGATGATATCCCTGAGGAACAGGCTTATCTAGGAATTCAGGACACAGAGAGAGAAGAGAAGAAAGAAGTACTAGGAGGGAGCCATAAGTGAGTCTTGCCTCTCTTCGTCTGTCTTGAGTGTTCAGAAAACCAAAGTGAGGTCAGTGAAAGAGCAGCAAATGTGCCAGCCTCTTTTACCATATTTGAAGTGTTTTGTTGTTGTTTGGTTGGTTTGCGTGTGTGTGTGTGAATGTTTGTGCTGAAATTACTTTATTATATTGAATTTTGAGTGAATTTTAAAAATTTTATTCTTAATTAAAATGTAATTACATGATATTCTCCTTTTCCTCCAATCTCTCCCATGTCCTTTCACTTTCTCACAAGTTAATGGCCCTTTTCTTTATTATTGTCACATGGATATGAAATACAAGAATGAATAATTATATAAATGCAACTCTCTGAGTCTGTATAAATGTTGCTTGTATGTATATACTTTTAGGGCTGACTGTATGATATTGGATAACCAAGTAGGAGGCTCATTTCTGGGGAAGATTACACTCCCTCTCTCAGTAGTCATTAATTGCCTGTAGCTCTTCATCTAGGGTGGGGCTTCATGAGATTTCCCACAAACAGATTGGCCTGTCAACTAGTATTGTAATTGTTCTGGTCTTGTTTAGAAAGAGCTATGTTGTTGAGATTTCATGGGTGTAGTTTCCTTGTCATATCTAGAAGATACAATCTCAAAGCAGATTTCCTGGTCTTTTGGTTCTAATCATCTTTCTATTCCCTCTTCTAAGATGTTCCCTGAACAGTAGGTGTAAAGATTGTGTTGTAGATGCATCAACTGAGGTAGACATGGGCACCCTATGGCCAGTTGTTTTCTCCATGTGGACTAGTTGTGGTTTTCTGTAATGGTCTCCATCTGCTAAAAAGGA